TACAGGACAATAGTTATCTGTATATATATATAGTTACATATGCGATTACCTCTGTGAATAAAGTGGCTACTGTGTACAGCACAAACAATTACACTGATACACTAAAAAAAAAAAAAAACCCAACAACAATAATAATGATCATTATAGCGAAAAAGGCACGGTGTGCTGCAACCGATTATCTTGTACCTAACACATTAACGTTCGGTCTGCACACACGAGACCCGAACCGGTGGGTCTAATACGGATCAACAATTAGCGAGCGTATTGTATTTCGACATTCGTAGTTTCGTGACGGCACAAGGACGAATTGCCCAATCAAGCAACAATAGTAGGCATTAATTAAAAATACGCTGCTGGTTTTAGTCTAATTTTCCTTTGTCGAGGCCTGATGCTTCGAGCATTCTTGTCCTGATCAACAGTGAGGTGCGGATTTTATTATACTTAACGAGTACGTTCGTGGAAAAAAAAGTATGCCTACGTAAAGTAAATGAATGATCGTATATTTTATGGGTTCTATATCTAAATTGTATTCATAGCTAAGTGTTAGAGTAGCCACTGCAATTCAATTATGCACCCTGATGCGGTGTGAAACAAGTAAGAGCATGCACGATCGCAGCAAAAAGCAATCTATTCGTCTTCGAATGTACAGTTTCCACGAAGCGGTCTTTTTTATACATTACCAATGTACATAGTCACTATGGCGAGTTAGTTCTAATAGTACCAATAACGTCCATACGTGACTGAGAATAGGAAAATCGAGAGAAACCAACCTTTCAATTGATTATGATTTATGTTTTGTGAGAAAAACCTAAAAATACATGCTTTACAGCGATTCAGGACCACTAGGTCTTTTCAAGGTCTACAAACTTCCGAGTATAGGCCGCATGAAAACTACCATCACCGGTATTAAAAATATATCTACACATATACCGTACATACATGCAAGCGTTACCACATGATATAAGCAACTGCATACTAACTGGAGCACTAGAAAATAAACAAAAAAAAACCTACCCTAGCTGCTTTGGACAACTTCTTGTCAGAAACCACTGCCCCCGCCGCCTGGCTCAGGAGATTCCAATCAATCCGCCTACGTCTGATAGGGAATAGGTTAAACGAAACAAGCAGAAAATATGTATATTTCGATTCTTATGTCTGGACTAAGCACTAAATGATATTCTTCAACAACCTGTAGACAACCCGATTGTCGATGAAGAGACGAGTCTCGATCAGCATGGCACAATTCTAGGACACATTGTTATAGCATGAAATAAGCGAAAAATTACTTACTGAACAGTTTGTTTAATGGTGCAGGACACTGGGATCATTTTGTTTTACTCTTTGCATTTTTGCTAAAAGTGAAGTTCCAGTTCTCACTTATCCTATAATAGTTGTCGACGAAGATGGAATCAGTCTTTTCCACTCATCACACAGTATTTCTGCCTTCAGGGCGTACGCAACAAGCGAAAAAAAAAGGACCCAGAAATCACTTATATACTACGCGTTGTCTAATATTTTTTTTACACTATGATATGTATAATTTGATTTTAGATTTCTTAGCCCTAAAACGTGATAAGCTTTAAGTTTTACGCCTCTAATATAGTCATAGGTTTTCCCGTTCGCGAAATTAAGCCATTGTCAATTTTATCTATTCGCTATTGGATTTCGAAATTTTCTATTATGATACTGTTGTCTACTGATGCTTTCAGTGTGATTACTATTTCCTGTTACGTAGGCCTGCGACTTTGGATTTTTTCTATTTTCGTGGACGCTGCAAAAATAAGGCCATTTAAAGAAAGCGTCTAGTAACGAACTTTTGCTATAGGTGGACATCGTCCTTACGTAATCCGTACTAGTTTATCGTAACATAAAGGTACCATTTATCCATCGAGAGCTTACTGAAACGTCGAATTGAACGCGTTGTTAGGCTACACTATACAACATAGCCAACCGGGATATGGCCTGTACTGATCCCTAAGTCTGCTCAGAGCCTGCACGCTCAGACGAAACGTAATGCATTGCACTCACTCCTAGATAGTGTGTATAAGCCTAAGGTAACCATATAATTGCTATACCCAGTTTCAGCTGTACAATATCTACAGGCAAGGTGCACCCTAGCGCCGTCGCCAATCAAGTGGGTGAATTGTGAATTAAAAAAGATCTCACACTGCCGTGGGTTTCACTGTCAAGACAATCCGCTGCTTTCGTTATTAATCTTCGACACTCGAAAATACAGCACGATCAGCAACGTTTGTCCTAATACCGCTGATCTACTTGCACGTAGAACAGGCGACATCTAGCGGTGACGAAGATTAGGACGACTCTCACTGAACGACTACACTGAACTATTAATAATAATATAAGTAAAAAATAATATGAAGAAATTACTACTATTTATATAATTATACATGTATTATTAGTAAGTAGAGGTAAAATAAATAACTATTCTGCTGCTATTTGGTATTTGCGTCATTTGTTTGTCTTCGCTTGATTTTAGGTGTGTGTGTGTGTGTGCAGGATAACTAATGTGTACCTCTGGTGTTTCGCGAGTCGAGTTGGATTTAAAATTTGGTTTGACCTCATCGAGGCCTCTAAGTGATGTTACCTATAAAAATCTGCCCATTAAGGATAGTTGAAAACGTCATGAGGTCATTATTAGAACTGAGATAGTCCCATAGTTACCTGGACGAAGACGCCTGGGTCGACTCTTAGCCGCAACCGCCTATCGTACGATGGCAGTCCGACCCAGGTCGATTATTCATTGCACTGATGATTGGTGATGACCTGCCTTTGGGAAATGGTTTTAGCTTTTGCCATTTTTCGGCCGCTACTTGATATCCTTGCATTCATTTCATAATTTTTTGCTGAATTTGAAAGTTGCTGATTAAGGTACGATCACGATAGGATGGCGTGGGTTTTGTACTCGTTAAATGGCTAATAAACATATCGCTTTGTGTCGGCCGGCTCGCTAACTTATCGTTATACGTAATCAACAATATTGACAAATGCTTCGAGAGTGCATGTGACAATAGATAGCTCAAACATGTTTTGTAGAAATAGAACACTGTTTCACTACCTTCGATACATTGCTGCATACTGGTTACATGCTGCATACTGGTTACATGCTGCATACTGGTTACATGCTGCATGCGAAGGTAACGGCTCGTTTGTTTTTTTTTTCACTGTATTTTCCTTTATTTTCGTGTATCATTTCCAGAATTGAACGAAACTATTGATGAAATTGTCAAGAAAACCAGGAGCAAGTGCTGGCTGAGTTGAAAGCTATATTAAAATAAACGCTTTTTGTTTAATCTAAGAAATAATACTCATCTTTTTCTCTCTAGCCGACCCAGAAAACTCCCTGACCGTTATCTTTTAATTTTCCCTATACTTATCCGTTCCGAATCTATATTGGTGCTAATTGGAGCGTCTTTGTTTAACGATTCCATTATTAATTGTCTATTCAGTTGACACCGTGGCCGACAATCTTTAGTGAAGGCAGTAAACACTGTAGCTTGTTAAACATAAGCATGCCCCTTTTGAACAGAGATTCAGCTCTCTTTATAAGCTGTTGGCTCCTCCTCGAGTTTTGACCGAAGGGATATTTTCTAGCTGTTGTGACGAAAATCTCATTTGCCTTCTCTATATTATACAAACTCTATTCAATTGAGATGCCCAATTATTCTTGTCAATCAGTAAATTTTACTTTAGCGTTCGCTGTTTAATCCTCCTATGAACCTTCCGCATGCCTTTTTATTCCTAGAAGATCGATTGTGTTCAGGTATTCATTAGCGCAAGCAATTCTGCACAAATATACCGATATCTTCGACGATCAGCCTAGTTAAGCTGGTAGCCTGTGGGTGACGTATCTCCGCTAAGCTCTTAGGCTCGAAATCAGGCAGAAATCTCCTGCGTGTAACTTAAAAGTTACGCGGGAAGTTCATCTGAGAGAATTTTTCATTAATTCTTTAGTGCTTTTATTCTCTTTTACAGGTAACATTTAGTGTGTACGCTAGCTTTTTAGATATATCC